GGAAGCCACGCCGGTCCTCACACGAGTGACAGCCGAGGTACACTCTACACCGAAGAAGGCCACCAGAGAACCCAAGATACCGACAGCTCCCAGAAAGAAACTGGACGTTTCAACTCCCCTGAACCGAAACACGGCCCAGAAGGCAAAAACCACAGAACACGAAGATATGAACCTGATCCAGTTGGAATCGGACCTGAACATTTCCATCGAGAACCACCAGAAGTCCCCGATGAAACAGTGGTGGAAAACATCAGCACCCTGAACATCCTAACATGGAATGCTCAGGGCATCAAAAACAAGAAACACCTCCTACAAGAAGCAGCAGCCAAGGACAAGCTTGACATCATACTGCTACAAGAAACACTTCTACAAGAACACCACTGTTTCAAATTCAGTGGTTACAAGACATACAGGAAGCATTTCACGCAGGCGTCAACAAGAGGATGTATGATCTTGGTCAAGTCAAGCATACCCTCCGCCGATGTCACGCAGCAATTTCCATGTGGGGAAAACATCGAGACACAGGCCGTCAAAGTAACCCTCCAAGAACGGGAATTAACTGTTCACAACATCTACAAGAACCCAAGGGGCTCACTGGAGGTGACTCAATTATTTGCTTCGGCCGCTGACCACGCCACACTCATAGGAGGGGATTTCAACGCACATCATCCCTTCCTAAGCTCGGCAAGCCCCACAAATGAAGACGGCCTACACCTATACACCACCTTTCAAGATACACCCGAGATCTGCCTCCTGAACACCGGAGAACCCACCCACACTAGGGGAGGAAGGCTAGATCTAACCTTCGTCTCCAGTGCACTACAGCCTTCGGCCTCCTGGCAGATACACCCCACGCTGACCAGCGACCACTTCGCCACCCTAACAACGCTGAAGGTGAACAAACTCCCCACTCCACCCCCCCCGAGATGGAGATACAATACCCAAAAGGCAGACTGGGGACTCTTTAAGAAACACCTGGCTAAGTGGCGCGAAAAATCACAGCCGGCCGGCGCAGCACCCGTGGATGAGACAACCCTCCACCACCAATTGGTCGAGGCGTTTCACCAAGCGGCAGAAGAGGCTATCCCAAAAACAAAACCCACATCAAGACAGTACAATGATTACTGGTACTACTGTCCCAGGGTGAAAGAACTCAACCACAGAGTGAACATGGCCCGAAGAAACTACAGGAGACATCCCATGGCAACAAACAGACATCTCCTGCAAGTCATAGTTAAGGATACCAGGGAAGAGAAGGAAGAAATAAAAAACGTAAGCTGGCTCAAGTGGTGCTCCGAACTGAACGAGCACACCTCCCTTGGTAAGATGTGGGCCCAGATCCGAAGGGCATCTGGGAAGGCAACACCACCACCACCAACCCATCCCAACCCAGAAGAGGAAGCCGAGAGACTTGCAAAACTGTTCTGTGACCGAGCAGCAACGAAAAACCTCCCGAGACAGGCGGAGGAGACACAACGGCGTCTGCGACAGGTCAGACTCCAGATGATCGAAGAGGCCTGCAACAGTGAAGATGACACTGACAGACCTTTCAACCAGCAAGAACTCCAGAAGTCGATAAAACGAAGCAAGGACACAGCTCCAGGGGCCGACAGGATAACCTACTCCATGCTTTCTCATGCCGGTACAGCCGGACACGAGGCTCTGCTACAAGCCATCAATGCTTCGTGGACAGCACAAAGACTCTCACCGGAATGAAAGAAGGCAGATATACAGCCCATTCCGAAGCCCAGAGAACCAGACAAACCGAGGCCCATCTCCCTTCTCAGCTGCATAGCGAAGACGGGAGAAAGAATGGCTCTCAACCGACTTAAGTGGAAAGTAGGCAGCCCACACCCTCACATCTTTGCTTACACCGAGAACACCGGCACAGGCAACAACATCGCCGAGATACTCAGCACAGTGGACTACAAACCAGCTCTGGTGGTCTTCCTCGACCTGGAGAAGGCCTTCGAACTAGCAAATCCACTGGCCATTACAACGACGCTCGCTGAAAAAGGCGTCAAAGGAAGGTTGCTGGGGTGGATCCAGAACTACCTCACACAGAGAGAAGCAAGAGTACGCTTTCAGGGAGCAACCTCAAGCTACAGGGTCCATGAAAACGGAACCCCACAAGGAGGCATCCTCAGTCCAATGCTGTTCAATGTCCTGATGGAAAATCTAGTCAAACTTCCTTTCAGACACACAGCCAAGCTCCTATGCTATGCAGACGACTTACAGCTTATAGTAAGAGGATCAAACAGACTAGCCAACACGCAACACGCACTCCAACTTATAGAAGAGGAGTGCAACAGACTTGGACTCAAGATAAATCCAGCCACGTCGAAAGCGATGGCCAACTGCACAGACACACCAGACAAGATGCTCTCCATACAAAACACGCCGGTAGTCTGGACCAACACCCACCAGTGTCTTGGAATCTGGTTTGACCAGAAACTCACCTTCAAGCCGCAACTCGAGTATCTCAGGCACAGGACGAAGAGCAGACACAATATAATGAGGTCGCTCACCAGCAAATCCGCAGGAGCAAACCTTCATGTGCTCAAAGCCTACTACACGGCCGCCATCAGATCGCTGGTAGATTACAGTGCTCCAGCACTCATTGGACTGAGAGAAGACCAAATAGCTAAGTTAGAAGTCATCCAAAATAATGCTCTCAGGACCATGCTCGGAGCACCCATGTGGACCAGAATTTGCAATTTGCAAATGGAAACCGAACTACCACCCCTGGCAGTACGAGTCAAGCAGGTGACAGCCGGTCTCCTCGCCAAAATCTGTAGAGCAGACAAGCCCACAGTTGCCAAGATTCGAATCAGTGCCTCCCTCCACCTCGACCACAGAGTGGGAGGGGCCACCTGGTCGCACGAGGCAAGCGAGGTCATCCGACACCTGCAAGCAGAAACACTCGTCAAGAACAACCAAGACACACGAGACAATGGTTACGCTGTTCCTCCACCAGCCACACTCAAATTTACCGACCTAGGCGATAGTAAAGCCAACCTCCAGAAGGAGGACCTCAAAAAAATAACTCTCCAAGCCATAGCCACCGAGACACCGGCTGATGCAGCATCATACTTCACAGACGGCTCGGTGGACCCAAAACATCATAGATCCGGAGCGGCCTTCTACACCCAAGGTCAGACCCTCCGATGGAGACTTTCCAATGACTGCTCCACCCTACAAACAGAGCTGGTAGCAATCTCAAAGGCCCTACAACACGCTGCAACACAACACAACAAGTCCATCATAATTCACACGGACTCGAGATCGGCCATGCAGGCACTGCAACACAGTCAACCAAGAGACAACGTCCACATCATTACCTCGATCCTCGCACAGCTACAGGAACTCCAAAGCCAAAACCGCCCAGTCGTCTTACACTGGATTCCCAGTCATGTAGGGATCGGAGGAAACGACGTGGCAGAAGAAGCAGCCAAGACAGCTACACGTTCTAGTAGCGTACACATCCAAGTTCCAGCAAGCGTGCAACAGATCAAGAATCACCTCAGAAAGACTAGCAAGCTCCACATCAAAAAGAGCTTCCTTCATGCATTCAACGCTGGTTCCCAATCAGCCAAATGGTACCTGGCGGCCACAAAAGGGGAACCACCTTTCGCTGACAAGAAAACTCCAAGACAAACCCAAGTCAGCCTTCATCGACTACGACTCGGGTACAAGTGCTCCTGGCAGATGATCGGAAATGACGTCATGGATTGCACCTACTGTCAGGAGCCAGCAGCCAACCCACTTGAACACTATCTCCTCGACTGCGAGGTCACACAAAGCCTCCGAAACAGAACTCAAATCTCCCAAGAAACACACACAACACCAGCGGCCACTCTAACCCGAAACGCCCAAACAGACCACATTCACCACCTACTCCGGGTCATCACACGATACCCACCACCCAGATAGCTTAGAAAGCATCCTCTCCCAGCAAGTGCGGACCCCAGTTCGGGGGGTGCGCCACTCGGAAACTGACCACGTCCAAGAGTGGGGGTTGGTGGTAAGCGTCCACTGATAGGGGGTCCGCTCACACTTGCAACCTGCAGTATCCCTCCAATCTGCAGGTGGGACCACCTCCAATCCCAATCCGGTCTGGCTGCTCCTGGAGCTCCAGCCGGAACCACCAAACGGGCCGCCTATAGGCAAAGGCCCGTGTCGGACTACGGTCCGACAATCTCAACAACAACACAACAACATGTAATCCAGTTGCCTCTGAAGATGTTGTGGGGTATGTTATGTTTGGTTCTAGACTCAAAAATCACGATGTGCTCTCTGTATACATGTTGTATTGGATGTACAATGCAGCTTGGTGCTGGGAAGGCAGCATGGTTACAAGTGTGATGTAGAGAGAGCCGATTGGTGAGGATGCTCAGAGGAGGACAGCTTGTGGGTCGCCATGCTCGCCGACGGGAGCGAGGACCGCCAGGCAGGAGGAGGAGGTGTTGCTGGCTGGTTGGTGTAGGTAGAAAGAGAGAGATCACCACGAGGTCAGGTCTTAAATAGCGGGGGTTGGCGTGGCTTAGTAGTTGACCTCCGCTCCGTGGGCGGCGCTGGTTAACCTAGACCAGAGGCATACACTGGGGAATTGGTGGGGTCGGCTACGCAGCAACAAACAGCGTTTGTAGGGGAGAAATCCACTACAATGTCTTGAATAAAGACGAAAGCTAAGGTGATCTGTTGTTTCCCTTTTCCCGTGTGATTTTATCAAGATATATATATATATATATATATATATATATATATATATATATATATATATATATATATATATATATATATATATATATATATATATATATATATATATATATATATATATATATATATATATATATATATATATATATATACCATCAGTCCATATAACACGCGGACTTCCATAGATATGATATATAGACATACAGTAAACATAGATATGTTATGCTACCCCGTGAAAACTACACTTTAGTCTCACTGTGCTGAGTGTAAACAACTCATCCTCGGTGTTCACTAGTTGATCAGGAGGCTCAGTACACGTATCATATAGTTGAACTAAAATAACGTTATTCAATATCAAATAGGGAACATACGCAATTAATTATAAGTTAGAATAACATCAGAACGCCTAATTCTGAACTGTCCTAATTTATTTATTGTTTTATAAAGCGTATTGATATGGTTCTCTCTCATAAGAGGAAGTAAATGAGGTGTAAACAACCATTGATGGTCCGCGTCATGGAGCTGCTGTACACAGTGTCTGAAAAGAGGAGTTCTGATGATGCTCACTTAACTTCGTAAGTTTTTTTTATTTTTAAGATACAGTTTCTCACCACAACTATTATAGGGCCATTATTTGTTTTAGTACACCCTCTAATTTGTTCACGAGATGTTTGATCTCTCAGGTATTTTGATGTGTTTTGTTCAGTTATGACCTTCGTTTACATGGGAAAAGCCTTGTTTAAAAGAAAAAAGTAATTATATAGGACTAACCCGCGAGCGAAATTGATTGAAAAAATTATAAAAACTTCTGATTTTCATTGTTATATTGTTGTGGACACTGTTGTAGTTTGTGGCAGTATGTTAAACATTTATATATTTTTTTAAATAAACGCTACTTAACATTTGTGGGAATGAAGAACAGATCTAACCCGCCAAACAAACCTACCTAACCTTACCTAACTTCCCCGGTATATTAGACAGAAAGAACTTACTATGAAATGGTGAAATTTGAGGCACTTAAAGGACGTGAGATAAGAACATAAGAAAATAAGGAGTCCGCAATAGGCCGGTTGGTCTGTGCATGGCAGCTCCTGTCGAGAGTTACTACCACTCTCTATCATCCATGAATCTATCTAGCCCCCTTTTAAAACTTTCCAGCGTTCCAGCACTTACTACAAAGTTGCTAAGCTTGTTCCACTCGTCCACCACCCTATTTGTGAACCAGTTCCTTCCTATCTCCCTCCTAAACCTAAACTTATCCAACTTAAATCCGTTGCTATGAGTCCTATCCTGCTCGGATATTATAAGAACTTTAGGTAAATTTGCATTTTCACACCGTTCACTTTTTGCAAGTAAAAAATATATTTTTCTACTGTACTTGTGTGTTTAGACCGAATATGACCTTCATTTTTGGTGGAAATTGACGTGGTTTTTTAGCGATTTTTTTTTTGTTTGACGTTTTCCGAAAAAAAAAAGTGGCTAAGCAACTAAAAAATACACAAAAAACACTAGAAAAAAACAAAAACCTAACCTAACCTAGCCTAACTTAACTGACTCTCACCATATGATGGAATCACCTATTTCTTACCTTATTGGCCTGGTTCTTGTTCGTCGTTGCATTCTGGGATTCTTACACAACGCCACATATGTTGGTCTTTGCGATATTTACATTCAGTCTTGCTCTTAGTACACTTTACTGAGGTTGGAAGAACACCATGTGATCGAAAAAATGCTATAGTTTCTACTTTATTTTCCAAAAACTCGCTATCAGCTCCATATACTTTAAGTGACATCCATCGCAGACTTCCATGGTCGGAACTGAACTTAGAATTTCAAAATATGAGAGACCCAAAATAAAACTCGATTTTGATTGGGCCAAATATACTCTGAATTAACCCTAAAATCATTTTAATTGGTTCCAAAAGCAAAAACGCTTTTGATTGGCCGCTTGATGATTTATGAAGGAGACGCGAGAGACACGCAGTGTTGGGTGAGAGGCAGACGATAATGGCAGGAGGTTAATGGAAGAAAATAGAATTTTGGGGGGAAAAGCTATCTCCGTTATTATACGTTTCCGCCGGTAATGTAATAGATGAAAATTATCTTATAATTAGACGTCTTATTCAAATATGATAATAGATTAGTGGTAGGAATGAACGGTGCGTAAACTCAATAATACCAAACTTTATCTATATCTCCTCTATTGATTCCTTTCACCCACTTAAATACTGCTATCATATCTCCCCCCACTTTTCGTCTTTCTATGGAATGCAAGTTTAGTTTCTTTAATCTATCTTGATATGGAAGGTTTCTAAGTCCCGGAATCATTTTCGTCATTCTTCGCTGCACCGACTCCAGTGAATTGATATCCATTCTATAATAAGGGCACCAGAACTGAACAGCATAATCGAGGTGCGGCCTGACTAGCGCAAGATATAAGACCTCTGCACTCTTATTACTAACACTTCTAGATATAAAACATAATACTCTGTTTGCCTTATTTTGAACATTAATGCACTGTTTTCTAGGCCGTAGGTCCGGGCTTACAAGTACCTCTAAGTGCCTTTCACAAGTCGACTTCTCTAGGTTGATGTTGTTAAGGCTGTATACATTGACAGTATTTGTTCTTCCAATATTAAGTATGCTGCACTTGCTGGTGTTTAATTTCATTTGCCTTTTATCGGACCACTCCTGCAGTTTATTTAAATCCTCCTGTAGTGCATTTGCATCCTGCCCTGAATTACCGGTAATCTGCCTCCCTATTTTGGTGTCATATGCAAACTTGCTTATGTCACTGCTGATCCCAGTGTCTAGATCATTTATGTAGATTATGAACAAGAGTGGGCCCAGTACTGACCCCTGGGGAACCCCACTGGTTACACAGCCCCACTCAAATTTAACACCATCTATGCTGACCCTCTGTGTTCTATCGGTGTGCCATGATTTTGTCCAATTTAAAACTTTTCCCTCGATACCATGAGCCTTAACTTTTCTCAGAAGCCTCTGATGCGGTACTCTGTCAAACGCTTTGCTAAAACCTAATTAAATAATATCATAATTTTCGTCATTATCTACTACCTCGAAGACTTAACTAAAAAAGTCAGCAGATTTGTTAGACAAGATTTTCCCTTTATAAACCCATGTTGAGAGTTGTAGATTAATTTGCTTTTCTCTAAATGTGATCAGATGCTATTTGCTATACAGGTAATTGATTCAAGAAATTTACCCACTACTGATGTCAAACTAATGGCCGGTAATTTGATGCTGATGCTCTGTCTCCCTTTTTGAATATAGGTACTACATTTGCCTGTTTCCACAAGTCTGGCACAACTCCCGTGTCTAATGATTTTGTAAATAAATTTATGAGGGGTCCGCTAATCTGTTCCTTACACTCTTTCAAAACTCGAGGGAAAATTTCATCCGGCCCTGGGGATTTTGTCTTCTTTAATTTATTTATCTTCTTAAGAACATACTCTTTTCTGATATTGATGTTCTTTAATTTCTCTTCTTCTTCATTTCCCCTAAATATCAGTTCCACCTCTGGAATTTCCTCGTGAATTTCTTCTGTGAAAACTGATAAGAAGTAGCTGTTTTATGCTTTGGTTATTTTCTCAATATCATCGATCACTTCCCCTCTCTCTGACTTTAAAGTCCCCGCTTTGTCCTTGACCTTTGTCGGCTCTATGCATCCCTGGCAGGTTGGTCCTGTACAGTATATTAAAAAAGCAAAACAAGTTAATAATCGTCCATTGGCTTCCGCAGGTTCCTGCCATGTTTACCTGAAGTTATACTCCTTACTTAGAGTCAGTTGCCTCCACCTCCTTGTAGGTTAGGTTGGTTGGTTCATTTGTTATGAGAATATGTTTCCTTTTTGCGTATTTTGGGTGTGTTTTACTAAAATTTTACCTCCATTTTTGTGCAAATTAGCTGTTTCTGTTAAAAATTTAAATATAATTAAAAAAAATGCCAATTTGCACAAGAAATGAAGGTCAGATTTCAGTAAAACTGAAAAACATAAACAAAAACTTTTCTTGTACCAAACCCTGAGAACAGTCAATGGACGAATATTTACCCCAAAATGCAAGTCATCCTTCATAAAAAATGGCTATTTTCCATCGAAAACAAAGGTGAAATCTGAACAAAATACAGGTTGACAATCCCTTATCCGAAATCCTTGGGACCAGAAGCATTTCGGATTTCGGAATTTTTCGGTTTTCAGAATGGTTATTTTTTTTTTTTTTTTTTAATGTATATTAGCCCATCCGGCACACTGACCCACATTGGGGCCTGGGGAATATAATAATAATTATAATAATAATAATAATAATTCATAGGTCTAGGTCGTGTTGCTCACTTTTTATCTTTTTTTCATTCCTGTATTTCTTTATTATTATTATTATTATTTTATTTATACGGTATTATTGTTATCATTATTATTTTATTTTGGTGTATTTTTAATTAAAATTTTTATTTACTATGAATAATTACAGGTTGTACCTTTCTAGTCCGGCATTCCGTGGTCCGGAACTATTTTAGTTTGTCCAATAGGTAGATAGGCAGTATTTTTTTTTTTTTTTTTTATAACTTATCTGAATTATTATTATTATAGGAGTATTAAATATTCACCCCTCAGGCCCCAATGTGGGTCAGTGACCTATGCCCGGGTGGGCTAATCCCCGTAAAAAAAACATCAACAAAGCCGTGGGAAATTAAGGTTTGTTTACATCTAGCAGTTCGGCTGCTCTCTCTCTCTCTCTCTCTGGGTTTTATTTTCTTCAGTTTTATATGTAGAACCAATCAGTCATTGCTTTTGTAAGCATTAACGAAAGCAATGCCGGCAGCCGTCTCGTCTCCTCGTGTGTTTTAATATTCCACGTATTATTAATGAATTGTATTGTTCATTTTGCACACACAAACATTAATTCAATAAAAAAAATTCAGAAACATTAATTAAAATATATATGAACGGTAAATAAGTGTTGCTTTCATATTCTTATGTAGAGTAATGACGATATGTTTTCACATGTGCGCACTTACATACGCGATCTCTCTTTTTTTCTTTACCATTATCGTTAGCTACTTCTATTGTTCCATTTATTAACATTAAATAACATTACTTAAAACAACCTATTAATTTTACTACAGCTACAACCAGGGTCTTATTTTCTTCAGTTTTATATGTTGAACCAGTCAGTCACTGGTTTTGTAAACAACGAAAACAAAGCCATCTCGTCTCCTCGTGTGTTTTAATATTCTACGTATTATTAATGAATTGCATTGCTCATTTTGCACACATAAACATTAATTCAATCAAAAAGACATTCAGTAATAAACAATAATGAATCCTTTGTACATAAGAGAAATGACGCTGTTTACACGATTGTGCACGTCTGAACGTTGGTGAGCCGTCAAAGTTAGTTTCCACCGTCAAAATTTTTAATTGTTTTTTTTTGGTGTGTGTTCCAATAAAAAACGTTGAATTAAAAACTCGCAAAATTTGAGAAGCTACTGTACGACATTTAACCCTTCAATATGTCTTCAAAGAGACCATGAAGCAGAGAAAGTGGTGCTAGTG